TGAGATTGCTACAGTATGTTTGATGATGAAGGTATACCTGAGGATTGGCGACACAGTGTGTTGGTGCCGTTGTATAAGGGCAAAGGAGATGTGAGAGATTGTGGGTCATACAGGGGTGTGAAATTACTAGAGCACGGAATGAAGGTAGTGGAGAGGGTGCTTGAGAGGAGGTTGAGAAGTATGGTGACAGTTAATGAAATGCAGTGTGGGTTTATGCCTGGTAGGGGAACGGTGGATGCGTTGTTCATGGTGAGAATGTTGCAGGAGAATTATAGAAAGAAGAAACGAAGATTGTACATGTGTTTTGTGGATCTAGAAAAGGCTTTTGATCGAGTACCGAGGAAGGTCATTGAATGGGCGTTGAGGAAGAAAGGAGTGAATGAGAGACTTGTTAAAGCTGTGATGCAGCTGTATGAAGGGGCAAAGACAAAGGTGAGGGTTGGAAGGGGGATGTCGGACGCTTTTAGTGTTAAGGTAGGAGTGCATCAAGGATCAGTGTTATCACCGTTTCTGTTTGCAATTGTGATGGATGTTGTGTGTGGAAACATAATGGAGGGGTTGTTATTTGAGATTTTGTATGCAGATGATTTAGTCTTGATGGCTGATAGCATGGAAGAATTGCAGTTAAAATTTGACAGATGGAAAAGTGTTATTGAAAAGAAAGGGTTAAAAGTTAATATTGGTAAGACGAAGGTAATGGTGAGTGGGGAAGGTAGGGAGCGAGTGATAAGTAAAATAGACCCCTGTGGGATATGTGATAGGAGAGTGAAGGCTAACTCGGTATTGTGTATAGGATGTCAGAAATGGGTGCATAAGAGATGTAGGGGTGTGAGGGGGGCACTGAAAAAGGTGGAAGGCACGTTCAAATGTAAGAAATGTGTTCATGGTGTGATTAATAGGACGGACGCAAGGACGGGGTTGAGTGGTGGTATTGAAAGAGTGGAAAGCTTTGTTTACTTAGGGGATAAGCTGAATGCGGATGGAGGATGTTTGAGCGCAGTTACGGCTAGAGTTCGTGTGGGATGGATGAAATTTAGGGAACTGGGTGGGGTATTGTGTGGAAAGAAATGGTCAGTGAAGATGAAAGGGAGGGTATATAAAGCATGTGTGAGAGCAGCGATGGTATATGGTGGTGAAACTTGGGTGTTGAGGAGAGAGGAGGAGAGTGTACTGCAGAGGGCTGAAAGAGCTATGGTGAGGATGATGTGTGGGGTTAAAGTGAAGGATAGGAGGAGTAGTACAGAGCTGATGTCAATGATGGGACTGAATGAGGACATTGTGACATTGATAAGGAGATCGAGATTGCGGTGGTATGGACATGTGTTGAGAAGGGATGAAAGGGTCGGGATTAGGCGAGCGTTGAAGTTCGAGGTTGAAGGAGTGGTAGGAAGGGGTCGTCCGCGATTGGGATGGAGAGAGCAGGTGGAGAAGGACAGGGTGAAAGCGGGGCTGCGTGATACTGAGGCGAGTGACAGATGTGGATGGCGTCGAGGGGTATTTCGGTTTTATCATAGGTAGCCAAACGGCAACCCCCGATCTCGAGGAAAATGCCGTCTAAACGTGTGTTGTTGTTGTTGTTGTTGGTGTTGTTTGTTCTCTTAGATATTTTTTCAAGATTCCAAACAATTCTTTTCAAATATTTATTCAACTCGTCAATTTTAAAACAGAAACAATATTTTAGATTAATATTTATTTACTTTTAAAAGGTTAGATATCTTTGTAAGAATGCATAAAGCTTTTTTGACTGAATAGTTAACGCATTGTACTTGTATAATTTTAAAATGTAAAGACTGAAGATAATTTGCTTTGGTCTTTGTTATTGGTGTATGTATGTTTGCGTGCGTGCTTGTGTTACACTTTCTTTTGCTCTTATCACTGTCTGCATTCGCTGTTTTGAAATTTTTCATTTCATTTTGCTTTGTGCCAATTTATTTTAAAACTAATTATCCAGTCAAAATTTTCACAAAATTCTAAACTTATAATATGGTGAATCATGAATTGTAAATTATGAATTGTGAATTATGTTTATTTTCGATGATCAGCATCTGCTGAGAATAACGCTCGTGGTAAGAAGAGAGAACTGGTAGGAGATGTGATGGGAGGAGTGCAGCACAAGAAATGCAGGTCTTCATCGCCGAACATTTATTTCGATGACGAGGAGGATGTCACAGAGCCAGGTCGGTTATTTTTTATAATCAGATTTGTTAATTATCATACTTATAACATTTAATGTTATTCAATACCTTCTATTAAAAAATCATATTTCTATTTCAATTAAAAATGATCCTCACTTTTGTTTACAAAATGGCAAGAATTATTTAACCTAATTATTTCAATAATTATCGAGGTGACCCTAAATGTAATTTATATATAAACTATTTCGTTAAACTCTAAATGATAATATTAACATTTAATTAAATAGAATTCGTATAATTGTTTTTAAAAGGAGAGATAGCAGATGGCTGTGACGTGGTTGATGAAAACATGGACATATATGGAGCATTATCTGACGGAGAGATCCCTGTGAGTTTTCATCCAAAGCTGTTTAATTATCATTTCTTTGCACAGGCTGGCACTTGGCTGTAGAAATGTACCGAATGGTGAATTCGGTCGAAGCCAAAAGCCGAATAACATTTGAAATAATTAGCATAATAACTAGCCACCATAAAACACACATTCAATAAAAAATTGACAGTATGCTGCTTGCTCGTTTGCCTAATATGCATATGTTATTGTTGTTTGTTTTATACGTTTAATATGCTGTTTGATGTCCGTATGTCTAATGTATGCTGACTGTACCACTGGTTTGTAAGGATGTTTATTATAAATTTGCAACAGGAGAATGATGGCGAGTACTCTCAAATTTCATCTGACGAGAACAACTTGCAATATGTCAGCTGCTTGCCCCAGGAGGTTTTTACAACTTTTTCTTTCTAAGATTCAGAGTTATAAATCATCAGGCTAAGTTTGACTCTTTCTATGAATTCGGTATTCGAGAATTTTGTTATTTACCTCTTTTAATTGTGCTATTCTTCTGATCAGGTGGAGTTAGGAGACTGGGAGGGAGTTGATGATGGCACGTGGACTTACGGATCCATATCAAGTTTTAATCCTTATCAGTGTGAACTTGCCTCTCTTGAAGTTTGAATTCATTAATTTTTCATTATTCGTATTATTCAAAACAATGTTAATGATATAATTTATCGTTCAAATAATGAAGACATGATGAATATTATATGATATTCATTAAAATAATCTTACTGTTTATAAATGTCAAAACTACGTTCTGTAAAACAGTTAGTTAGTCTTAGATATTAATTTTAATCGCAATCTTAAAACATAGCCCAACAATGCAAGTTCACTCACATATTGTTTAAACATATACTTCCAGACTTTTGCAGACCCTTCATTGACAGAATTTGAGAAGGAAAAATTGAAATTACTGAGCGGTGAAGTTGTACTGGATGAGATTGAGGACGAACAAATGCCAGCATCGTCGTTGTTCATCTTGAATTTCATCAAACATCTCAAGCAGGGAGCTCAGCATGAATTGTCAGTTTCTGAAAATATTTTTAATTTTATTTGAAAATTTTTTTTTACCAAATAAATGTCACGATAGGAAAAATAAATATTAAAAATGCTGAAATGGCTTTATTAGGCTTTTTCGGCCTGAATCAAATGTCGAATTTCGGCTGAACATCGGCCAGGTCGTCAGTACAGTGCCTCTCCAATTAAAAATAAATTTATAAACTTGATAATTAGAGTCAATTAGCTGATTGTTTTTATTCTGAACCCCAACCACAAGCAGCTTCGTTGATTCGCTGGAGTCCTTGCCTGCTCACATCCTGCCCGGTCTTGTGTTCATCAGTCAAGCTAAAAAGTTGAAAGAAAGTTGGTTTCAATGATGCTGATGATGGTGATGATGATGATGTTAGGGGTGGTTGATGGTGGTTGTGATATTATCTTAATAATGCATTACTTATTTGGGCGAATTCTTCTAGTGAACAAATTATTTTTAAATTTTGATAAATTATTATTTTTAACATCTTGTAAATGATTATCCCTTTTATGTGAATCAGTTTTTATTTTTAATTTTCATAAATTTCGTTCAATGCAGATGTGGAATATTTAATTGACTGGGCATGTGACAATTTAGAAAATGGATTGAAGGCAATTTCATTCAAGAACTTCTCAATAAAGTACTTGAAAGCCATCATCAAACTGCTCGGATGTCTGTGTACCTGTGACAGTCACATTGCTGGCATCATGATGGTTCGATTTGTTGCACATTCTGTTTAATTACACGCTAATTACATGCTCATTGTGATTGTGTTAATATGAAACCTCTTTCTCTATAAGGAAAGGAATGTCCAGCAGAAGCTCCTCAACGCATACGATGACATGTCTCCATCAATTTCTCTGCAGTCACTCATCCTTGCATCCATAGACCAATCTATTAGATTCAAAGTAGGACTTGATGCTTTCATCCGCAAGCAATCAACTCATTCGGATGGAAAGGTTTCATTTGTGCTGAATGTTCACGTTCATGGACGGAGCTCATTGATTATTATTATTTATATTATAAATTTTACTTTATATCATACTTTAATATTTTTAAAATTACTATAACAAAATTTGTTGAACCACTGCAGACCGAAGCATGCTCTCAAACTCCTTACCAAAGCATGGTTGGAATATTGCTTAAAAAGCAGGTAATGGATTGTCAGTTTAGTTGGATTTTATTTATAAGAATTGTATGTATCATTTAAAAGTGTATTTCATTTTTTCTCTCTTTCTACCCTCTTCTCCCTCTATTTCTCTCACTCTCTCTTTTTCTCATATATATGGTTAAAAATAGCTCAACCTGATGAAATGAATAATTATGAGCGTAAGTTAGAACATTTGAACATTGCTCGCTTGCGACAGTATCAAGATTAGAAGCAGATGGCTGATGGGAATAACAAACTACAAACATTTTTAAAAAAATTCAATTAATTTCAATATACTTATGTCATCTTAATAATTTTTTGAAATAGCGGAAAATTTTATCATTGCGGATTCAATCAATTTTGAAGAAAGTTCACATTTACGAGGTCCTCTCAAAGTTGTACAAGAATGTGCTAAAGTTTGTATCCATTTTATTTATTCATTTCTGTTGCTTTGTTCATGCATGTTGTAATTTGTTTAAACTTCCATCATTCATACATGGAAATGATTGTGCAATATTTTCATGAATGTTTCTGTCATTCCTGTCATATCAGCTCCCTTCTGGGAATTCGGGACTTGCATTTTCTCTTGATTTAACTCTCCACATTCAAGTTATTAAGCACTAAACGGAGCATTAAAAAATAATTTGGTTCTGCTTTTTTACTCAAAATATATTTATCAATATATGTTTGAGTGATACTTTGAATACAATAGTTGCCAAGTGGTAAACTATTAATGGATGGAAATTGAACAAAAGAGCTTTTCTGATTGCATCCCCACTGAAGGATTTGTCTCTAAAAACACAAATAATTTGCAATTTTTTACTTTCATACAGGTAATTGTTGTCCACCAACAAATTCCATTTTGTTCGATCATTTTTTTGATGATTTATAAATTACTGTCCACTTCAGTTTTGTAGAGGTGTGATTTAATTAATTTTATTGAATTTTATTTTCTCCTAAAGCCTTCAGAACAAATCTGCCATTGATGAATTCAGCAACACCACCACCAACAACAACAACAATGCAGACGTCGTTAGCGAGGATATTGATAAGATGGATGAAGTCGTATCGGATGGTTTATCGAGTGACATGAAGCAAGCGGAGAAGAATGTTGCTGCTACATCTTCCAGCTCGGAGAAGAAGGATTCCAGTAACGACAACACAATTGACGATGAGATGAGATTGATGAAGACCAATGATGACGAGATCAGTGAGGAAGTCATGATGATTGTTGCCTGCTTGGATGAAGTTCACACCGCCCTACAAAGTCACCATCAACTGGTTAATTTGCATTACTTTTTAAGGCTGTTTGTAATGTTTTTACATAAATTTAAAGTAACTTGCTTTATTGTTTTTTTTTTTGACTAATTTTATTTATTCATGTTTTCTATTCATGAATTACTGTATATAATGTTTGCGAATTTTAATTTTATTAATTTTTTCAGGCACAGCCAGAGCGATTTGTGATATACAAGAGGCAAAATGCACTCAATTCCCTCTCTGCACTTATCCATATTTTTGATACTTGGTTAGTTTTGAAGTATTTTTGTCTGAAGCATAATGTGATGACTTTGTATCAATTACTTTCAATTTTCAAATTTTGTTATACTTAATTATAATTATTTTATTATTATTATTGTTATTTCAAACATTTTTTAAATTTTCAATACTCATGCTAGTAATACCAACGAAAACGTTTGTTGCAGTAACCTGATAGAGTGCATATTCGTGTTGCTGTCATCTCCACTGACCAACAACAACCCATCCATATTCATGAGCCTCAAAAACGTCCTCACGTCGCTCACCACCTCGCATCAAGGGCTGCTTTTTTTGACCTTCAAATCAGAGGCCACCAATGGAATTCTTCGAATTTTACTCCAAACATCTGTTGGTTAATTTTTTTCCTTTAATATGCTTCTGTTTTACGTAATTTCATGAAATTAAACAAATCCCGTTATTCAGTAACTTCTGATATTAAAATTAAAATTAAAAAAGAAAATTAAAATTGTTTGAGACAATAGGATTGTTAGGCTGACATGCTGGCGGGGAACACTTTGAAGGTTTAGTTAGTGTAATGACCCACTAACATAATCGATATTGTAATAATTATGCGTGATAGCTCTTATTTCTCACCTACGCAAGATCATGCCGACTATATTAATAGAACGACACTGTAAGATGTAAACCGAGTATTTGTTGGTTAAGACTAATTATCATTTTTGTAAGAGTTAATATGAAACTGAACTGATAAACACCGGTTTTGACTAAATTAATTTGGATTAGTGTTGTTTAAATGTTAGGAAATAAATTGAATAGATGAATATTTTATGAAGCATATATTTGTTTCAGTGACAGCAGTGTACTTGGTTTTTATAACATAAATAAAATTATATTTCTAAAAGGATTATTGTCAAGATGATGAGAGGGAGTTGAATGCAGCAAACCAGCTTGGACTCTTCATGGCCTACCATCTGCAGACAATCCAATACATTGACCAGCTTAATGAGTACCACATAAAAGGTTAGCATTTCATTTGTAATTCTCTTTTCAGCGAATGTTAAAATTATTTTTTATTTTCAGCATTGAGTTTTGAAAATTTATAAAAAATTGTTTTAACATTTAATAGATTTTTTCTTAAAAAAAGTAACTTGTAGTTGAATATATTCTTGCCGATTGAAAATAACTATAACAGCTAAAATAACTAAAACACTGATCACATCACGTCACATCACTGATGACATCACATCACATCACTAGCTTCGTTGTGTGAGGATCAGAATGTCAACGATACAGCCATTCTCGCAGTCATGTTGAACCTGTACTCAATGACCTTCACCTTCCAAGGAAAAGAGGCATTGGTCCACGTATTCACATCCAATGATAACATCAACACTCTCATTTCATTCATCCAAGCAGATTGTAAGTGGGCGATTTCTTTCTACACGTAATAATTACTTCAATAACGACATTCTAAAATATATTACTCAAGAATTTCAAACATTAACAAGTATCAAAAACATTTATTTAATAGTTCAGATAACCTCGCTGACAACGGTCTAATTAAAAAAGTTTTAATGAATAATTTTTTGAAACCAAATTCCAGCTGGAGATAATGAGAAGAAGCATTCACCTGTCTGCATATCATACGTCCTCTCCATCGTCCTCATCATCGTTCAGCACACAGATGAAGTGGGGTGGCTGATTACAAATTGCAAAACACTCTTGGCTGTCGTTGAACAAGGTTTTGATTTGTTTGTTGTCTATCTGTCTGTTTGCTTATTTGCTTGTTTTTTTTTGTTTGACTTGTTCGTTTGTTTGTTGAAACTGCACCAATATTTTGATTTTGTTCATGACACTTATCACCATAAGGGAACCTCTTCCTTTTTCAGGACGTGGTCAACATTAGCGAGAAACATTTTTAGAAATCTAATGAATTAATAATATTTTATCGTTATATATTTCACAACAGATAATAAATAGTTCATGTTCCGTCCTGAACAAAATCCTTTTACTTATGAAAATCCTTTTAAGTTTCCATTTAGTGACGTGCGAATAGGTCTGATTTAAAATTATTGCCTCAGTGCTCCTTTTTTGTTGCATAGGCAGGTCTAGCTGCACTTGCCAAACTTCAACTTTTCAATTGAAGTTTATAATTAAAGTCTGAAGCAAATAATTCAACATGCAACAAATCCAATAGTAGACCAAACGTGAAATCACAAATGTAAAAACGTCATTAAAATGTGTATTGATATTATTTCAAATTTGTCAATATTATTTCACACATGAATTAACTTCAATGATATTTATATTTGTACAGAACTGAAGTCTGGCAAGGCAGATGAACAGGTGAAGGAACTGTACGACTGGATATCTCCATTGAAAATCATCGGAACACAAACAGCGGCGCGTGAAAACTGCCAGACACTTGCTTTGGAGCTACTGACAGCACTGAGGCAGCATGCCGATGATATGCAAGATGTTCCTAAAAGCGCTGTCACCATTTTGAGAGTGCTGAAACATCTGAGCATCCAATCAAATGATTGCCAGGAGGGTTGGTTCATTCAAGTATCATTAACATTAATTATAATTTAGAAGACCACATCATCAAGTTTTTTTTTTATTCACTGGGTTATCTATCATTTTTATTCAAAAATGTTGAAGTGAAAGAGTTTAGCAGCAGTGGGCTAAGGTCATTATAAAATTAAAATCCAAGTGGTTGCGTTCGAGATTGAAAAGGTTTCTTTAAGTCTCATCTATAATTTTAAACTCGACTGACGATTTTTCAAATAGGAGTTTAAAAAGTTTAAAATAACGATATTTATTATGTGAACTAGCCAAAAAATAAAATTTTATTGATAAACCTGGTGTAAGATGTTCAGAATAGATAAGCTTACTCCACGTTTTCAAACAGGCCAGCAGCTGTTTATGTCTGTTAGCGTTGAAAGCACTCAATGTCATTTTTATATGCCAAGGCTGATGCACTTTTATTTAAGCAATTATGATAATTTTTTATATTTTTTATATTTTTCAAATTTATTTTGTAAAAATTAACAAAAATTATTCAGTTGACATGTTCAGAGAAATTCAATACAAAGTGGTTTTAAATAATTTGTTCGGAGCCAACTGCCTGTCATTGTTCGGAAGCATTCTGCTGGTTTGATTTCATTCTTTTTTTAATCGTGTGTTTTGATTTAAACTTTTGGCACATATATCAGTGCAGAATTAATATTATTTTTTGTTATCATTTTATTTTATAATAAAACTTATAATTTGTATTTTACCGTTATAATTCAAAAATATATGCAGCCCTGTTCAAAACAAAATTTTTTCATATTTTTTTTCAAAAGAAAGTGAAAAACTTATTGCTGTTGCCATGGCAGCTGGGGTTTTCAATGACCCCGACCAGAAAATGGTTGGTGCTATCTGTGGTGCAGCCCATCTTGCTGATGATGAGGGCGATACTGACGCAGCTGATATCTCTTAGAGATACTAAGGTAAGGGAAATAGCATTTTTGTTTATTTATTTATTTACTCGTTTGTTTGCCTGTTTTGTTTGTTTGTTTGTATGTCTTTATCAATCAATTTGTCTGTCTTTCTTTCTGTCTGACTATTTTTTGTGGCTGTTAATGTTTGTTCTTCATTACTCATATTGAAACAGTACTGATTTCTTGTTGTAGATGATAAATTTAAAGCATTACAGTATTCACGGTATAATTGGTTTAAATCATTCTAATTGTCTTTGATAATTTTTTTAATTTTTTCGTTAATACAGTTTGCAGACTTGTCAGCACTTGCTGGCTTGTTTGGCATACATACAGTCATGTGTTCAACCTCACAGACGGGAGTGCTCCCACTTGAGTTACAGAAGGTCTATCATTTAATTTACATCGTTCTGTTATATTTTATTATTACAAATCAATTTTTGCAGCAAACAAATCAGCCATCGCCTTCTTGGAGTTAAATTTACAAGGCAGCATATTTAATATTTAAATGACTCACGGCCTCGCTTACTCAGAATCTCACAAAGTCACATTGTCTGTATATTGTTTGAAGTTATGAGTTGATAATTAGCCATCATTATAAGATATTTTCATATATACTCATATATACAAGATATATACTCGCCTGCCTGCCTGCCTCTACAAACATGATTTGCTCAGTTTTGATGTTAATAAACCATCTCATCTTTTATTATTTCTATTTATTGTTACTAACCTATGCATACTTTTTAAACACCGTAGTGTATTAGTTGCAGAAAAAAAACCAAGTTCATTATAAGTCATTGTTTTTTGTATAATTTTCTTTGTTATGTTGTTAGAATAACTTGATAATGCCAGCAGATTTGTTTAAAATGTTTTTTTAAAGTAACCTATTCAGACATTACGATGTTAACTTCTTAATTATTTTTAATTTGCAGATTCAAAATTTGATTGTGGACATCCTGATGGCTTACACTCAACCAACGATTATCGATTCCGTGAACGAAGGTTGTTTCGTAACAGTCAATAAGTTGCTCATTTTTAAATTTATTCGTCTGAAACATTTGCTTGGAGGGAGTTGAGAAATCATTTTTTTGAGCAGCTTGCTTTCATTTCGAGCAGCTTGCTTTACTAATAAGATAAGCGTGAAGATTGTCAGCAAGTTTGAACAGATGAAACAATTGAACTAGTGCGTGAAAAGTTTTGAGCTGCATTGACGTGTAAACCGGCCAATTTTGTTCATTTATTTTTCTTTAACATTCTTCATTTGATTGGGGTAGTTTATTTTTTCAATGATAATTTGAAGTTGAAGAATTTTCGATTGATTTAAATACAAACACGGTATAAAAAATTTGTGTTTACTGAGCTTATTCTGACTGTAAAATTATGACCATTTAATTAGTAATAGTTGTTAACAAAATTGAATGAGACGAGAAGTTATTTCAAATGATGATCAGGGCGCTTAGGAATAAATGTAATATTTTTTTTATTGCTTGAAAAATCAGATTATTTGTATTTTACTTTTAGACTGAGACGTTTAGCTAAAATCAAATAGTTTTAAGTTTTGCGACATTCGATTCAACTATTTTTAAAACAGATGAATCATTGAAATTTTTTATAGTTGGGTCGGATGGACTTTGGAGCAAGATGATTGGAGAAGTTCTGAAGTACACTCTATCCTTACCGTGCACCTTCCTCAGTGGTCTCATTCTCATTTCTGAGCTGTTGCCTTTGCCTCTGCCCTTGCAAGTCAAGCAGGTTGATGTTTGTTTCATTCATTCATTCTCTCATTCATTCATTCATTCATTCATTCATCCATCCATTCATTCATTCATTCATTCTCTTATTCATTCTATCGTTCATCCATTCATTCATTCATTCATTCATTCATTCATTCATTCATTCATTCATTCATTCATTCATTCATTCATTCATTCATTCATTCATATTTTACTTCTCTGTTCAATTTTTTTTGTGGCTTTATGCTTCAAAATAAAATTAATTGATTTACTAGACAGAAATATTTGTAGTTTTTTCATGACGCTAAATGTATAAAATAAATATTGAAGGAGATCACCTCGAAGCAAGTGGATGAAGTTCTGCTGATGAGGAAGAGGTGGGCTGTCCAGTTACTGTCGCATGCATCTGTCCTGCATCAAATCATTAGAGTCCTCTCTGGTCAGTTGGTCATTCTTTCCTCTTGATTTGTTTAGTTCATATCGCATTTTAACGCTATCAGCATTTTGTTGTTTTTTTAAAAAAGACTTTAATTTTTTTGTTAAAAAAATAATTCTGCAGTTTTTTAAAAGCTGATGTTTACGCTGGGATTTGAATAACATAATATAATAATAATAATAATATAATTGAAAGTTTAAGAAAAAAATATAGATATATAAATACATTCTGGTTATGTCCAAATTAAGTGTCACCTAGTTCAAAATTTAAATACGTTGAATTAAAATGATTTATTAAATTTTTATGTTCAAAAATGTTTAAGTTAGAAATGTTTATGAATTTATCTAATTTCTTTTTATTTGAATACTCTTTATATTTTGAAATTTATTATTGGTGGTTATTAATTTCAAATATTTTGAATAAAAAGCGACGACCATACAGCCATTGAATCAACTGTTGAGAAGAGTCTGTTGGCAAATTGCTGACTTATCTGCTGCAACGGCTGCCATCGTTGTCAGGTATTTCTTTACTGTCTTTTCTAATACTTGCTTCTCTCGTCATTTCATTTCCTCGTCTTATTTGATTTTAGGTTCTTTCGTTTCAATACATTTTATTTATTGTAATTTTCTATTCTCTCTCCTGCAGTTCACTTATAGATATTTTGAAAGAAAGTATGGATCCTTCCATGGACCAAGCAGCTTCCACGAAAGCTGCCAGCGACAAAGCAACAACCACAAACATCAAATGTGAGCAGCCCGAATGCCAAGCCTCCCCGCGAACTTACAGGATTTTGAGTCTCATCTCATTCCTCGTCAGCCAGCCTGCTATCAAATGCTCATTTCTCTCTTATTTAAAATCAAAGTATGTATTTTTGTACCTTAGCGTTTTTTTGAGTTTGTTTGTTATTTTGAGAGCAAATATTATGCATTCGCATCATGTACAATGATGCGAACGAATGTATGTTTGTCTGTATATATGTTTGTTTGTATGTTTGTTTGTTTGTATGTTTGTTTGTTTGTTTGTTTGTTTGTTTGTATGTTTGTTTGCATGTTTGTTTGTTGCATTTTTAAGTGATGCAGGTGAGATGTATGGAGATGTTATTGGACGGTTAATCTCTCTTCTCGACGTAGTGTCCGACCAATTTGCACACCTGCAAGCTCAAGAGGCAATTTTGGTTGGTGCATTCATCTTCACTTTCAGTTTATTTTTTGATGTATTCGAAATGACTGACTATACGATATGAAATTGTTTATATTATTTTACGTTTTGTTTTACATTTTACAGTAAAAAATTAATTGCAATTAAACCAGTTTGAAAGAATTAAATTTTTATTAAATGCAGACAATATTTCAAAGCTTGTGTGATTACGAAATTAGTCTCATCATCGATTCTGATCTGAAGGTTCTTTTTTCTTTAATTTGACTTTTATTAAGTTCATTTGAAATAAAGGTGAAAAAGTGTAAAAAAGTGTGAAAAACTCATTTGTACATTTTTTCAAGTTCATAAACTTTCATTCATTCAAATCAAAAGTGTCCTTCTAATCTAATATGCTATTCTCACCAAAATCAGTAAGTAGATAATTAATTAATTAACTAACTAATTAATTAATTTATCTGTTAAAAAAATCGCCAGCTATCCAACTGCTTGCCGTCGAGGGAGCACATCAGTCTCATATGCCTGGCTCTCCTGAAGCACATTGGCAATAGGGATCACAAATTTTCGACCATCCTCCTCTCACTCAGGACATTATCTCTCCTTCTTGAACACGATTACGGCTTCTACTTGGTCAAACGGTAACTTGTTGCATTTATGTTCTAACTCAACATTTGAATTAACATTCATTTTATATTCTCAATTAGAAATGTATAAAATGGGATATTATTGGTGCGCTTACGCCAATCGTGTTCTCATTTTTAAGTGCTTCATTTAGATAATAATTGTTCAAATAGAGGTGTATTCTAAATAAAGAATTTTCTTCTTGTTAACGTTTAAAAAGTTAAAATCATGAAATGCTCTCGAGATTTCAGCATAACAAAATGATATGTTGTAGGGCCATGGAAGAAGTATCCACTTGCTTCATCAACCTGTTCATGCACATCAACGCAACATTCAGCAAGGACAGTTCTGACTGCATCACCACCTTATCATCGGCAGCTGATTTCATCCAGTACCTCACCACTCTTCCTCCAGCACAGTCACTCCAACAATTGACTTGCAACACTGCTATTGATGACAACAGCGAAAATGTCAACAGTGAGAACAAAATGACGGTTGAGACAGGTTGGTGTCTTTAATAATTTTTTTTGTTCATCGCCATGCATTTCTTATTTTCTGCTCAGCTTGATGAAAACTTTTCCATATCAATTGTCTGACAGTTTTGGACTTAATCGACCCATAAACTTAATTTTTTTTAATCTGTTACTTCTTCCTTTCTCCAACAAAACCATTTAATATAAGAAGTGATTTGTTTCAGCAAACGATCAATTCTTATTTTAATTACAAATTCTTGTAAACAAATGAAGGCTACAAACCATTAAGAACGTACACGATGAGCCAAGATGAGGTTCGCAAGGTCCTTGGCTGGCCCTCCATTGGTCAGGACGATGCTGGCATGGCGAACCATCCACTCAACGACCTGGATGTTCTTCTCTTTGTTAGTTATTTCATTTTATATCATGACCATGACAAGAAATTGTTTGTAAATGATAAACATCTTGCCATAGACGCAAGCAATCTTTATTGCTATATGACTATCTTTTTTTTTGAACAAATATCAAAAAACATGTTGTGAGTTGGTTGAAGACTCTGTTACTATAAGAGTTTTTCTATTAAAAAAATTGTCAGTGCAATGATGTTGAGTTGAAAGTTACGTTGACCATCTATCAATCTTTCATTTCCTTCACTCGAATCAGTCCTGGCTGTCCTACTTTATAATTCATAATTTCCTCTTCTTAGCTTTGTTTGCGGTCTTCAGTTATTTCGCTGTAAACATGCAGCAGAACAGGTTATTCATGTCATTCGGTTACATTATTACAGATTCTACCTTTGTTTTTTTCTTACTACTTTCACAACTTTGCCAGAAAGAAAATCTGGAAGAGTGAAAATTGTACATTGGAAATTTATCATTAAATAACGTGTTAAATACTTTCACTGAAGGAATACGCCAAAGATGAGGACGGATTGAAGGCAGTGCATGCAGGGGTTCACGCATTGATAACCATCCTCAAAACACCTAGTTTGCCTGACAGCAGACCAGGTTATTTAAGATTTCTTCTTAACATTTTAATGAATAATTTCAAAGCTCACGTGTAGTGTGCTTCTTTATTTCAAACACGGAAGTGGGATTATGGAATCGAAGTTATTAAAATTGTGTAAGTTAGGCTTAGGTTTTGAAATGACCATTAAATTATGTTGACAATATTATACATATTGGCTACTTGATGAGTGCCATGGTGCGAAGTTTATAAAGAATAAAAGCAATCATTTTAAATAATTCGGACAAATTGTGGATTTTTCAGAAAGAATAGTTAATGAGTTTGTCCTTTTATGAATATAATATAAATTTAATAAAAATAATTACGCGTTATACTTTAAAATTACAATAATTTAAAAAATTTTATCTATATTTTGTTGCCTAAGTTGGACTGGTGATTGTTATTTAATTGAAACACATGATGGTGATGATGATTATGATGGTGATGATGATTATGATGATGATGGTGATGATGACGATGATGCAGAAGCAGTTGAAGTCATGCTGCCGGATAGCGATACATTGTTGGAGCAACTGAAGAGACGTACGGTGTACAGTCTGGTGGAGGATGATGAGGAAGAGCAGCAACTGACCAGCACCTACTGGCTGTCCACACCAATGGGCGACGACTTCGACCACGAACCAGAACTTGTTTGTTAAATTGTTTCTTGCTTTTATTCATTTTAATTTTTCGTTTTGAAACTCTCACTCCATCGTCCAGTTTCATTATGTTTTTGTAGAATGTAAATATTTTAATGAATTATTTGGTTCACAGTGAACCTAGGAGGCGTTTTTGCTTTTGCTGCTTCGACGATCAATACATAATTTTAATAACTACTGTAAAATAATATTTCCTATTTTATAATTTTAATATCATGCACAGACGAAATGTGATTTGATTCAACTCGTTGAAAAGTTTGTTCCTGGTTTTGATTTGGAGGCTGAGTTGAAAAAAGGCTCCAATATGTCAGAAACATCTATACTGTCCCGACAAATTAAACGGATGTGAGTTTGGATTGGTATCAATTAATTATTTGTTATCAACGTTTGTTGCCACCGATCTTCATTCGCACTTCAATTTGTTTCTGTCTGTGTGTGTGTGAACATTCTTTTTTAATGAAGAATTATTACTGAGTTATTGTGTGCGATTGTTTTTATCACAATTCATCGTGTCACTAACTTACTCCACTTTTTCATGATCCATCTAAAAATGATGTTGCGAAATGTTTCTACAGAGCATCGAGGAAGAACACGGACACGATAAACACCAGCAAGATGACAAGCGGTGGAGCTGCCTTCGGTAAGTATTCCCGTCCTACTGGGATAATTTTTACGTTCGTCTTTTCACAATTCTGCACTCCACTTTGTGACTAGTTAATGAAATAATTTGCAAGACATCCACTAAACATTTTTTTTCAAATTTGATTGAGAAACTAATTCACAACTATATGCAATGTATGGTGTGTACATAATTGTATCTCCGTTGTTCACGTCTTGATAGTGATAACTCACACAATTAGACAACTTAACGTGACGAATAATAATTAAAGTGTTATCACAAAACTATTAATGTTATTAAGTAAATTAATAATATTTATTTATATGGAGTGTAATGATAATTGATGACGACAATTTTGTAATAATAATAATAATGATGATGATGATAATGTTAATGATACAGTGGCTCCACTGCGTGGTAGGGGGTTCATCCGCGGTGTCATGGGGGGTGGTCTTAACAGGGGGGACATGTTTAGATCGAGACCGCCCAACACATCTAGACCGCCATCCATGCATGTCGATGATTTCGTCAAGCTGGAGACGCAAACTCACCACCAGCAACAGCAGCAGCATCATCAACCACCACTACATCAGCAGCAAGGTGTTAGCACCGCAACTAATGTCATGCCCATGCAAGTCGGTCATCTTACCAGGAGATCTGACGTCTGTTTCTCGTTTCTGCTCAATTAATAATAATAACAATAATAATAATAATAATAATAATAATAATGTTATTATTATTAATAAACATGTTGATGAAAGTTTGTGAGATTATATGAATAATAAATAAATAAATAAAATTGTACGTGATGTTAAGCTGAAAAAATGTTTGCGTATTTGAGGGGAGTTGTTTTTAAATTGTAAAATGTTTAAACGCGTGAAGGAGATGATGAGATTGCGTGGAGACCCATTCGACAGAGGAGTGACTCGATTCTTCAGCAGCACCAGGTGGCCCTTCCACACGTTCCACTCCTCATCATCATCATCCTCCAGGGATGATACAGGTTGTCACTGCATTCCTTCAATCAATTTTCAGCAAGTTATAACATAAAATAAAATGTAACTCTAGATTTTAACCGAACAAGCAAATCTAAAATTTCAGATTAGATTTAAAAATAGCACGGGATAGCATGTTGAAAGGTTGTTTTAACCAACTTCGTAGTAGTAGTAAATAATTGCAAGCCATCCAGTCCAATACTGCACTACACATCTCTCATCGTCTAACTTTTGTTTCTGCTGAATAGATAACCATCTCGCAACTTGCTGGTTCATGAATTTTATTTGGCATTGATTGTAACCATCATTTTTAGTGTGCATATTTGTGACATTACTCGGCCAGGATAGCATGAAAATAGTTTATCAGTTTTATGGAAATACTGTTTTGCCCGTGATAAATTAATTTACGCATCTCTGTTATGAAATGGACAGTAGTTTAGACGTCATCATGAAGTTTTATTAAAATGTTACTTTGTGTTGTTTGAATAAAACAGTTCTTCTGTTAAGAGGAGCTTATAGAACGGTGGGGGTCTTGAACAGACCCGGCCTGATGATGAGAGGGACTGCCACGAACCTCAACAACAGGACCAGTCCAACGAAGAACATCTGGCCCATCAGGAGATCCAATTATTCTACAGTTGCTGCATTTGCAAGAAGGTTTTACGCCATTCTTTTTATTCATTTCTTTAAACATTGAGCTCATTTACTTTTTATTAGTTTGCTTTTACGACATTTTTTCCAGCAATATATTTGAGCCAGATTTCACATATTTAAATATTTTTTGGCCTGTGTTTGAGTGAAGCATGTTTATGGTGTGTGTGTGTGTGTGCGCGCGCGTGCGTGTGTGCGTATGTTGATAACTCATGAGTGATGGCGACTGTTAGCTACTAATATTAACTACTAATAGATAAAAACTATTCATCTGAAATTGCAGTGGTAGTGAAGTTGGCGAGAGGCGACCACCAGCCGCAGGAGCAGCAGTAGCAGGAGCTTCGTATGCCTATCCAACTCAAAACCCTGGTATCGTGTGGCATGAACATAAGGATAGAACACATGAGCACAGGTGACTGCTCCCTTTTATTTTCATCTTTCCATTTTTATTGCGCTTGATTTTTTGTGCAGTACACTTCCTTGTGTTATCGTGATAAATAATAATGAATTAACATTTGTAAGTTAAAATATTCTCAATATTTTTTTTAATATTTTTAATACAATGTGATTCCATGATACCATTATTTCTGATCGAACATTCAGCAAAAATCCCGCTTTAATCTTCGTCAATGAAATGATATCCGTTTATTAATTGGAAATTGGCGGCATTTTAATTTTGGATAATTATGAAAATGAAAGTTGTTTAAAAATGTTACTTCCAGGATTAACGTTCCTGCCGATGCTTTTTCAGCCTGGAGGGAAAGAATGCACCACCCCAAGTCAATCAGATAGTTGCCGACTGCTACTTCTCACTGCTCACTGCTCTCTATTTTTACTCCTACAATTCTCTCCATTCTGTTGTTAATGTTAATAAATTTTCAGTTCTTATAAATACTTAAGTCATAAAAAATATGACACTTGTGAAAAAATGCTGCGAATTTATTTTCTAATCTAAGTTTACCAGATGATTAGCTGATAATTTTGTTAATATTTTTCTCGAATTTGTTCTTTTTTGAATTCTGAAATTTTCAAGAAGATTAAGATGGGATTTTATTTAAACGTGGCTTATCTGACTAATATCGTCTATGGACAGAGAGTGGATGATGATGGGTATGACGGATGGTGTATTTCGTTTGAGTGGAGACCGATCGTCGTAAGGCTCTGTTTATTCATTAGCAGCAGCATGGGCGTGCAAATAACACGTTCATGCTTTAAATATATTAAGTTAAGTTGGATTGAAATAACACGAAGCTAAAAAATACATTCGGAATGACGTCAAATAGCGGGAAAAAATCTGTGTATTTCTAAGAAAGTTTTTAGGACTAAGTAAGTTGTTACAAGTTGCAAAGGGAGCATACCAATATATCAATATTTTGTTCTTTTTTTTGTCTCTTGATGATGATGGTTATTGGATGGCAATCGTCATACCGGCAGCATTATTTCAAATTTATTCCAAAAATAATCAAACAAGTTTACCTATTTTAACAAAAAAAATCTTGAATTGCGTTGTTTATTATCACGCATCTCTGACAAACATGAGTCACTTGGTAGCGGCTAAACTTTTGTACCGCAAACTTGTAGCATTCGCAGGCCCCCGTGGCAGCAGCAGGGTCTGTTGGTACCCTCTCAACATACCATAAGGCAATCATTCCATTTTTGTATAACTACATAAGAACAATGAACAGTAACAAGCCTGGAAAAACTAGCCAGTTTACCTTGTTGTGAGGGTCACATGAAATAGATACTCTTATTTGTGACAAATAATTTCAAATGATGGCGTTGGATGGGTTTTATAATGTACGAACCGATTAGAAATATTGTCATCAAAGAACTTTTGAAATAAAGTAACAATGAATTTTTTGGCACTCTCTACGCCCGGAGCCACTGCCCCTCCTGCTTCACCTTCGCTACGTCACTGGATGATGATATGTAGTTTAGTCGATAAAGTTTTTGATGAGAATGACGTACTTGATGTGTGAGATGAGTGATTCTGTGGTTTCGAATGATTTGATTGATGCCTTTGAGGAAGACCATTTAAGTGTTTTGAGTGCATGAAATGTTTGGAACCTTTCTGTGATGCGATTAAGTTAGACGAGGTGCAATGTTGAGTGTTGGTAAAATATTTTTAATTATATAGAGCGAGTTATAGATGTTCTGGAAAGAATGATATTTGTTATGGCTAAGAATAATAGGCTTAAATGATTTGTTAAGGTTTAATGAAAGATTGCATTGTTTTTGATTTTGAGTTTCGTATAAACGCTATTCGAACCAGGGCGCTTTCGAAACAACAAAGCGAAACAACAAAACTAAAACTTATCGTTTGAGCTAATTAGCTAACTAATCTTCATGGATTTATGTATTTACATAATATTTATATATTTACAACCAGAATCATTTTAGAAAGGATAGTGCTTAGAACTCTTTAAACATTGCTTTAGCTATTAGTTTTTATTGTGATATTTCCTGATTCACTAATTGTGCCTATACAGTTTTATGGCTAAGGTGTATAATTTCACAATAAAAAAATGACGTTATACGTTATTGGTATATTTTAGCCATTTTTTGCAAAACTATATAAAGCTCCCATTATCACTTCATATTGGTATATAATATGGAACTTTGCCAAATGGCGTATTGATCTGCAAGAAGCACGCAGAACGTTGTACATATTCTCGAGATTATTGTGTTGCTATACATTTTCAATAAAGTTAAAAATTAGAACAATATTATCTTATATGAATTTATCTGATTTTGACATAGAAGGGATTGTTGAAAACATCAACAAGGCTCTAGTAAACTTCAACATTCAACATGAAAAATACATGCTAACATTAGAGAAGTTATGCCAAAAAAATTGCGCAAAAAATGGAAGTGCAGATACTGTTGCAAGTAACACAGAAAATAAAACAAATGAATTGACGAACGCAGGTCGCCCAGTGAAAGAAAAATCGAAGGTCTGGTAATGGTTAATTAATGTCTTGTTAAAATTATAATATATTACTTATCCGTTATCTTTTTTCCAACAATTCCATATCAAAATAATATTCAATCTGTTGTTCAATTTTAAATGTTTTAACAACCTTGATGGCCAAAATAAGTTTCCCACTAATAATAATAATAATAACTAACAATTGTCGTTCTGCTAGCAAAATAAGATGATGGCTGAAACGGAAGTTGTAATATTTGGCAATTCGGCCTTTAAAAATGGCCGAACCGGAAAATTCGAATTTTTGGCCGATATAGGTCGTATTTATACATATAATAGGAATATATGTCAAATATTCGGTGTGTTTTAAGTTTATTATTATTATTACTATTATTAAAACTATTCACAACATTTTCAATAATATTTGCAGATGAAAGTGAAAATTAAGATTGCCTTTTTGAAAATTGGCGTGATAGACACCATAAAAAACAAATTTAACGCAGAAGTGTTAGTCACAACAAAATGGCGTAAACCAGAAGTGGATGGAAAGAAGAAAGTGGGTTGTTGATCTTATTTTGGCAATTTTATGGTTACTCTCGTTTTATTTTCATAAATCACCACTTCAATATCTGAAAAGGAAGTGAAGTTGTTGTCATGGGAGGGCCAGTGGACTCCATCCATGGTCATATCAAATATTGTCGGCGAGGTTAAAGTGACAACATCTTATAACGTTATTTTTGATAACAGCGGACGCGCTGTCGCTTGCGAAACCAAAAAATTTGTGGGTCATTTTTTTGAAAATATGGAACTTTACGATTTTCCATTTGATAAGTAAGCAAACGTTTTAAAATATTTTTGACATTTTTTGGTAGTATAGTAGTATATAAGAAATTAATTTATTGATAGGCAAGACCTGACAATATGTGCATCAAGCGAAAAGACCGTGGATGAATTAGAATTAATTGAAGATGAAAATGATCCATGCGTTCTGAATTTGAAAGCATTTAGCGCAGAACAAGAATGGGCTTTAAACGACAATTTGAACAAATGGAATAAGGTTTGTAAATGTTTAATAACAACAACCTTATATAAAGCACATATGTAATTTTTAAAATGAAAAACCCCCATTTGACATATTGTTTAATTCCAATTTTACGGCGTTTCAGCTCAGTTTCGACTACATCTACCAGATTTAATGTTGCTTTATTTTTTCAATCAGATACTTTTATTAAGTCAGTTTCTTAAAAAGTGAAGTATGAACTGATTATAAACCAACTTTGTTTGGACTGTTCACAAAAGTAAGTCAGATACACTTGCCGCAAATGCCGAGGCTGAACACGACACAGAGTAAGGTTATCAAGTCTGCAAACAAACCGTAATTTTGACGATTCAGTTGATCACTGATGTTAATTCAGCTTAATATTTAGATTATCATTTAATTTGAGACACATCATAGACCCTAGCACCTCAAAACGCCATTCAAACACTTATTTTTATTTTATATAACCTTCATACGCTTAAAATATTTAAATTTTTATATTTTGGTTATTTTCATAGACAACAACAAAAAAAGTGAACAATGTGAAAAGAAAGCATCCATCATTTTGCGTTGCTGCCAAGGCATCAAGAAGGCCTCAGTTTTTCATTTTTAACGTTGTCGTCATCTTAGTAAATATCATCTATAATCTTTTTTCTTTTTATTTTGTAATACAATATGTATATATATATATATGTATGTATATATATATATATATATATATATACATATATATTAGATGGCACTGTGCAGCTTATGTTTTGCCTCGTTTACGGTAAGTCAAGAACTGGTCCCGAACAGACTTCAACTTACCTTCACATTGATACTGACATGCGTGACTTTCAAATTTGTGGTCAGTAAAAGTCTTCCGAAAATCTCATATCTCACTCTCGTGGTGAGTAAATAATTATTCAATCAATCATTTTGGGATCCTACACGTTAAAATATTAACTGCAAATAAAACTATAAACATTCTTCACTCAAATTAAATAATTATTTTGAGTTTATTATAGAAGAAAAAGTTATCGGCCGTAAATACAACAATTAGACATTTTATTTTTTAAAAACTAAATTTTGTATGAAAGTTTATTAATATTAGTTTTAATAAAATAACAATAAAAATGAATTTTGCAACCGAGGACAAATATATTCTGGGATCGATGATAATCTTGATCGGAATTTGTTTCTGGCATGCAGCAAGTGGAAGCATCGTGTTCAACAGTTATCCATATCTAAGTCAGAAAATCACAGAAACGCCTACGCCGACGACAACTCTAGCGCTAACAACCGTTACAACGACATCATTTGGACATTTACTTGATTACAACGACACTAAAACCGGTCAGTGCTTAACAGTTTTTTAAGCAGTATTAGTTGAGTACTTCTAAAGTACAATTAATTTACGCAATTTATAATACAATTAAATTCTGCTATAGTTAATGAGCTCGTTGTGAATTACACTCGGATTATGATGCACGAAATTTTAAAAGCACACCACTTTTGTATATTTTTATAAGAATCCTACATAAATAAATATGAAGTACCCCTCGATTTAAATTAGCCATTAAACGCATTAATTTGAAGTCAGTTGTGGACATTTTTGCTCTATTTCTGATTATTATTATTATTATTCAAAGTTCAAAATGGATTAAAAAATTTTCAGAGTCGAAGCCGAACACATGTACGACCGCTAAACCCTGCTCGACAGCAAAGAAACCAGGATTGGATGCGGTACGCGTTGATAAACTGGCCATGCTGGCTTTTGCTTGCGTCTACGGCAGTTTCAACATGTTCTTTTTGATCAAAGTTTTCATGGGTTATCGTCAGGTAAATCTAAATTTTATTTTGAAACGTTAAAATTGATTATGATTTGTAAAAAACTTTTGCTACCAAAACGTTGTTAGAGTAACATATCCATATCATACTTTTTTTTCTAGAATGACAGTCTTCAAGAAAACACCGAAAACGACGAATGAACAACGTCTAAATGAAAGTCAAACACAATTTAAACAAAAGTTTGTTCAACTAATTAGGAAACATTAATTTCTAAACTTGAAACTTTGTTCACGTGCAAACGGGAGAAACATTAATCATAGTTTTAAAAATCAAAATTTTTCAATTTCTTTTTTGTTTGTGTTTTAACCTTTATTTTTATCTACAGAATTAATTTATTTGAATGAAGACTCTTCAAGAACGCTACAAAGCTAATTCAAATAACTTGGTTTCATTTGAAGCTTTTATTTTCAAAATAACATTCGAAAAGGTGGTTTTCACTAAGCAATAAAATGTTATTTTAGTTTCCATAAAAGTGTCATCTAAATAAAAAACAAAAGTATCATTTAAAATTTTAAAACCAACAGAATCAAACAAAATTTAACCCATCAAAATCAAATCAAGTGTAAAAGCGAAGGTTGAGAAGATAAATGTAAATGAAAACGAACCGTTTAAAAAAGCACTTTCAACGTACACAAAATAGGGCAGTCATGAAATACATTTGAAAACAGATTATAATAATTTGAAACCGTTCTCTCGGAAGCGTACATGCATTAAAAAGATAAGTCTTCAGTCTTTTAAGAAAAGAATCAGCGAGGAAAACTCTCACCTCGATTAGAAGTTCATTCAAAATATCAGAAGCGGCATAACCGAAGCTACGGCCTGTGGGACGGGATTTGGTGGTAGGCATGTTTAAGAAATTATCCGAGGGTTATCTGATGCTGTAGATATTTTTTATTTTTCTTTTTTAGCATTTTTCAGAGATATCAACAAAAAACATAAGTGTATGAAAATGCACGTGAATCAAGACATCACCCACATTGCATGTAATTGACAGAGATCTTCCCGTCAGGTACAACAATTCCGAAAAACCTCGACGAAAATAGTGGCGCAAGCATTTATAACCGCTCGATTATATTGAGTGATGGGCATAGTTTAAATTTATAGTTGCAAACTTATAATAAGTAGCTTAACTATTTTTCGTAGTTTCCTGCCGTTCAGCTAAAAAATAGTTTAGCCTAAATAATAGCTCAACTGAAATATTTCAGTTGCCAACTGACCCTGGTAAAAGCACCTCATTTGATCATATGCCAAACAAATTGTATTTCAATTAGTGAAAAAAACTGTGAATTTGTGTTACTCCAGTCAATTTTTATTTTCAACATCAAAATGAGACAAAGATAATTATATGAACATTTCGTTAACAGGTCATTTTGAGCGGACGTTAGTTGAAATATTATCTTAGTGTGTTCCAGTCAATGTTTCGAATTCATGAAGTTAAAAACTTTTACTTCTTAACATTAAGTTATCTCTACAAGACAAAACAACGGCAAATACGTTGACTAAAATTTCTATTTTTCTAATGATATATAGACAGTAATAATAAAAACAAATTATTTTGGTAGGAATAGACCGAAAATAAATTAAATTATTAAAAACTCACATCAGAGTGACATTTTTTTAAAGAAACAGTTACCTGAAACAAAAAGAAAAGAAATTAAATAACATCCGGTGCAGTATGACGTTTCAGAGAACCAGTCTATTAATCGCTAGTTAGTGCGTGGTCTTGCTGACCGTGATCAATAAACATCAACAAGAAAGCAACTCACAATTGTAAACTAGAATTAATGCACATTAAATAACAAAAAAATAATTCACATCGTTATCGAATCTATCAATTCCGCTAGCATATTTTGTCAGCCAACAATGAAACTTGTTACAAAAGCTTTTAACTATCGTACAATTTTATAAAATAAAGTTAATATTAAGTACATAAAAATATAATTAATTAAAAGTTAGACATTAAAAACGCATCTGTGGCAAACCGGACACGCGTCACTCAACGGAATCCATTTGCATAGGCACGATTCGTGGAATAAATGCTTACAACTGGTCACCTTGACGACGTGTAATTCCAAATTTGAGTAACAAATTGCACAGATGTCGTTATAATTTTTAATTAAATCTATCGATGCAGTCTTTAAAATAGCAACTTTGGTAGCAACTTCTCTTTTCTTACTACACGTTGTATACAGTTGTTTGGCTTCCTTCCATATGTTGAAATACAAATGAGCACACATGATGACAACCCTTAAAAGTCCAGCTGATTCAAACAGTACCATCCATACACCATTGCCAAATAAGAAGAGGCCAAATAGAAATTCAATTAGTTTGCCTAGGAACGTCATATAATAAACGTAATCATCAGTTTTTTCACCGGCAAATCTGGTTCTAACATCGATAAGAATGAAGATATATATAAAAACAGAAAAAACGATTTTGACAATCAATTCAGATCCAAAAGCTAAAACTGACAAAAGCCACGTTGAAGCAACATTATTTGACCATTGATGGATGAGAAAAAAACTAGTCACTGTGAATAAAAAAAATGCGAGAATAAGTTGTCGAAGATGAATTAATGAAAACGAAATTAAGGTAAGTGTTTGAAGCTTGTAATGCATCATGCTGTGGATATAATGCATTGAAGCCAAGAATGTCAGAGATAAGTTGTAGTAAAGTCTAATCAAACGCTTTGACGGATTTAACAGAGGAAGACCAGTTTGAATGGCTAGAAGCATAAATAATGCAGATACCATGTCACCAAGGTGTTGGTCTTCTTCTCTGCTAGTACCCACCCATTTCATAAACACCTTGCCAACGTGGAAAGTAACCAATGAAAGAACACTTGTCAAGCACAACAACGAAACATAAGTTCTTGTACTTTTATCAACCATATCTAAGATAAGCAATTCTAAATTAGAATCTTTAGTTAGTAGAAACCAAACAAAACAAATTTTAATGTTCTGGAAAACACAAAAAGATCTTAGGACAGAAGGAACATTAATTCTATTCCACTGTTCACTAGCGATATCGAGAAAACTGTCATCTCTTAGTAATGACATCATTTGTTCAGGCAGTGAAAGCCGGAAAGCTAGGAACTTCATATTTAAAATATCAAAAATAGGTTTCATGTCAACCAGTAGAAGAATTAGTACAACAATCGGCGCAAAACTGATCATATCAACATTTAAGGTTGTTGTCAGAAGCATCAACGGCGAAACAAACAAGAAATATATTTTATAGCCATTGGTTAAAGTTCGTTGATTCGATAGGTAAATACAAATTTTGTCAGAATTTAAAAAATCTTCTTTGAAATGACAGTACAACCTAGCTAAAAATGCTTGAGCTATGATGACAGCAACTATGTTGGATGCTTGATATTCCAATACAGTGCATTTATTGATTAAAAACCAAAATTGCTGAGAAATAGGATTGTCAACTTCGGGATGAAAATATTCATATATGACGATGGCATTACAAATGTAGGAAAAATATAAAATGCCGAATGTAGTCAACAGTATGTAAAAGTTGATAAGCTGCTTGGTGGGTAGTACCATCACAACAATACTTGATGATCCAACTGTATAAGAAAATAATTAAGTTATTTCAATGTTTAATCTATTCAATATCATAATTTACCTAATGTTAAATGCATTATGTTATTATGTTAATACATACTCTTGCATTAAAATTAAGAGAGAAATTTTTGTTGTTATCTAATAAAAATACAACACCAGTCAGCAGAGTATTAATCACAAAACAATGAACATAAATTATAGAATTACTTTTAAGCCAATTTTTAAAATTGTTAAAATTTTTCTATAACTTCCATCTATGCTATATATGCCTGATCTACATTTTGATGTGATTATACTGAGAGTAATGTTGTTAAATAGTAGATCGTTTAAACAAAAATTCAATTTTAATATTTGGAATGCTTTTGTAACTGTAGAGCAAGTTTTAAAAAGCAAAGCAAATATTTAAGAATATTAAAAAAAACATTACACAAATTTAATAGCCATTTCAAATTGGCACTGAGTTTATTAAATGTGTAACAATTTATTTTTTATAAAAAAAAGATCAAAAGATCAATCAAAAAAATATCTGACCCATCAAGACAAGAATAGTGTACAAGACTGCAACACCTTCTGAATTCATTTTTAAATGTTCATTGGAAGATAGAAAATCTTTCGCATCATTACTACATAAACCGTCTATGACAAACAGAGGTGGAACTCTCAAAACAACATCCATAATTGGAATAAAAAAAGCTTTGTTGGAATCCATGCTCACACTGAGGGTCAGCAATAAGACCTTTCTCTAAGTTGAGCTTTCTTTAAGTGAACTGTTGCAATTGTTAGAATTTATTATAAATAATAGATTGATAGCATGTTGTAATAAAAAAAGTGCTAGTATATATGACAAATAATTAAATTACTAAAACATAAATAATGTATTTTAAAAAATGATGATCCGTTGAAAACAAAAAATAGAATCAAATAAAAAAAATCAAACTTTGCGGTGGGATTTCTTCTGTAAAAATAAAATTATGTAGTCCAAATAGTGCCACCATTTGCATAGTCATTGATTATTTGGTTCAGTTGGCACAGTGTTGAGGATGTTTTCTTGGATTGAAATTTGTTAGGGAGAACATATGAATTTTATTCTATAACATGAAAAAAACATTTAAAATTAAAAAATAAAGCGAAAAAGAGATCAATAAAAAATTATCATATCACATTTAAAAACTAATAACAATTAGTTAAAAATGCTTTATTAATGATTACTATATTAAATAATTTTGTGTTTGCTATTTTGTGTTTGCTATCTTGTTTCTTTATTCTACAGTGCGGCTCAAAATGATAGGAACGGTTGGTATTTTCCATTTTCTTCAAAACCATTGTGCCGAATTAATTAAAATTTTTACCCCTAATTTTCAACATTTAAACAAACAATGAAACATAAGAAAATTATTGTTTTAAAAAAATATTAATTCAGATTATTCAAAAAATTCGATTTTACAAAAGGTCAAAATGATAGGAACGATTTTGTTTTTAAGTTTAAAGCAGCAGTTTTAAAATAGTATGAACATTAGATCTGACCAAACGTTGTTTTATTTGCATTAAGCGCGTTTTAGACTGATTTGAAATTGGTTAAAATTGTTTTTCATTATGGGCAAAGGGAAAAAGCTATACAGGAACCAAACAATTTAAATTCTGACATTATGATCCAAAAAATATAGTCTGGGAAAAATTTCAAAATCATTAAACGTTTCTAAAACAGTTGTTTTTAATTTTTTAAAAAATCCATTGACTTATGGAACCAAAAAAAGACTGGCAGGCCACAAAAACTAACAAGAAGAACAAAGGCACTTCTAATTCAAAAAGCCTGTGAGGGTACAAGCAGTTCTCTTGAGTTGCTAAATGACTTACAATTAAACTTTAGTATCAGTACTGTAAAAAGATGTCTAAAGAAATGCAATTATTTGAAATTTGAGAAAAAAATCAAATCATTGCCACTGACAAAATTTCGTAAAGAGCAACGATTGCAGTGGGCAAAAGATCATGTTACCTGGGATGGCAAATGGAAATTTGTTATCATCTCTGATGAAAAAAAAATTCAATCTTGATGGTCCAGATGGCAACAAATTCTATTGGTATGATGAGAGAAAAGAGAAAAAAAAGATTTATTAAGAGGCAACAAGGTGGAGGGTCAGTCATGGTTTATGGTGCTTTTTCATTCAAAGGAAAAAGCCAACTGTCAATTCTTCAAGGACGCCAAAATTCTCTGGCATATATAAATGTTCTTTCACAATGTATGATACCTTTTGCACAGTCAAAACATGGAAAAAAAAATATATATCAACATGATAATGCCCAAATTCATACATCCAAAGCCACTAAAGAGTTCCTAGAGACCCATAAAATTGATGTTTTACCATGGCCAGCATTATCACCTGATCTCAATCCGATTGAAAACTTGTGGGGGTGTTTAGTTAGACAAGTTTATGCCAATGGAAGACAATTTAAAAATCTAACAGATTTAAAAAATGAAATTTTAATGCAGTGGTACAAAATTGATGAAAATTTGTTAAAATCTCTGAGTAAATCCATGAATGCAAGATGTCTAAGTGTTATTGAAAATAAAGGAAACAAAATAAACTATTGAAACTTATTCTATTCACTATACACTTTAAAAAATAAATTCTTTTTTCATTTGTTCCTATCATTTTGACCCAGAATTTAAATCATTAAAATCATTATTATTCTGTTATCTAAACCCTATAAAGCTTTAAACAAATTTGTTCACATTATTGTGTTTTAAATGTTAATAGAAATATACTGTGTAAATATTATTTAATATGGCCGATTTGTTTTGAAAAAAATTAAAAAAATCCACCGTTCCTATCATTTTGAGCCGCACTGTATTCCAAATTACAATAAAATACACCATTTTAGTCCAATTATTTAATTATAAATAACCAATGGGCTTAACTTAAAAAAATGATGTATGTATTGTATTATATTATACTATAGTCTACTTATTTATATACTATAGTATTGTAATCATATTATAAATTACAATACTCAACAAGTCATAGGTACATGTACTGTACAGGTACAAGAAACCCTAGCTAAATTGTTTACCAATTATATATTATAATTTAATTATATAAATAAAAATTATATTTTAATCTAAACTTTAAATCCCAAAGAAAACCAACAACATCACATCATATTTTGAAAGAGATAAACACATTTGTTGACTATACATACATTTTTTAGCAAGATGACGAATTTAAATACTATTGTTATTTAAATTATAAAAGTAACTAACTCACCGAAAAAATTGAGATTGAAATTTACAAACCTAATTTTCATAGAAGGATTTAATTACTATTCTTAATTTTAGTACATACGTACATTTAATATATTTGTTGAAAATGAATCGTAAAAGTTCAAGCTTGAGAAACTTTTCAATTTTTTCCGTACTTAAAAGTTAAAACGGATAATATATATTTTTATTGTTTCACGTTACGTCAAGAAAGTTAGTTTTGCAAATGTGGTTTGCGTAATATAGCTCAATTCCTACAGAAAACTTCAATAATTATCTTGAAAGTGTTGATTATTTCTAAAATTAACAATACTTTTATGTTGTTTTTTTTTACAAAAACTAACTTATAATATATCCATGTTAGAAATGCAAAAATACATCAGATTAAAAAGTAAAAATTGCTGATCCGTTTGAATTTCTTTTTCGTGAAGGCCCGTCTGTTGTGGAAACTTTATATATATATATATATATATATATATATATATATATATATATATGTGTGTGTGTGTGTGTGTGTGTGTGTGTGTGTGTGTGTGTGTGTGTGTGTGTGTGTGTGTGTGTATTAAGTAATCAGTAATCACCATATTTACAGAATTTTCCAGCTTAACAAACATTGACAAATTTTCAAAAAAATATCCTGTCGGTCAGTAGAATTGGTAAGAGGTGCAAAACGAACTTTAAAAACTTTAAATTGTATCATTTACATTGAAATTATGATTAAATGTGAAATGTTGCCCATTAAAATATCCCACGTCACAAAGTTTTAAAAAATTAAGTAGTGGCAGAGGCAACTTTAACATGTTTATAGCCTTTATAATGTTTTTGCCACAGTTGCATTGATATATTTGCAATCTTATACGAATTCTTGATATGTCCGTTAAGAGTCTTGGATTTCGTAAATGACACTGAAGTGAAAAAGTTAAATTATTCAATCTTCCTTCCAAAACTTTCGGCTCATTTATTGGTTTAAACCGTGTTAAAGTTTCTTTGGTAAAATAATCGCATCTTTTGACATCTTTAAAATAATTATTATTATTATGAATACTGTTTTTGAAACTGTCGTTAAATTCTGAATTGCTGTATAAATGTACGTTATTTACTGGAGTAGAAAACGTTCTGAAATCAATAAGCCAAACATCTTGGTTCAGGTTGTAGCCAGCTTTTAACATGAGCATGGACAGATTTTCACAATCCAATCTTGGATTATTTATTATAAAATACATCATACTGTCGATTGATCGTTGGTAACAGTTGACATCGCACCCGAAATATATGAGTATTGGCGCTATTGGACTACTTGCATAACGAACGAGATTTGTTTGTAGGGGAGTTTGTAACTTCGCATTTAAATTGTCTAATTTGAAATCATTTTCTATTAATGCCAAAACTATGTCGCTCCTGTTTTGGAATGTTGCTAAATTTAGTGACGTGCAGTTATCTTGGTGAAATATTTTATCGTTTGCGGAAGCATATTCAAGAATGTTCACAACCGATGGCAAACACCCATAAACAACTGCCTTGCAAAGTGGCGTTAGCGATTTTCGATCGTTAGTGGTGCTTTTTGCCCCTTTTTCTAACAGCATCTGTAAAATTCGTGCAAAATTTTTACAAAACTCTCGTTTTTGGCACGCAACAGCTAAGTGCAGAAGCGAACAACCTTCAAAATCTATTGAATCAACTTTTGCACCATTTTTCAATAAGAGCTCGACTAAATCTACGTTACCATTTTTCACAGCGTAGTAAAGACACGTAGTAGAAGCCGCTGCAAAGTGGTAAATGCTTGATATCGATTCTTCAAAATTATTTATCAATCTTCCTCTTGAAATAACTCTACCGTTTCTGTCCATAACTAACTGATCGTCATCCAAAACAAAACTTCGTTCATTTACGTTACATCCGAACAATATAAGATGTTTTGTAATATACGTCAGTCCCAGTCGAGACGCGGTTACTATTGGCGGCTCATCGAAATTTATGTACTCGTTAACCACATCTCTTCTTTGTCGCGAAAGACTTGACTTGTTAACGTCACTCCCATTTCTTATCAGTAATTCAACCATTTTCAACGATCCTGAGCTAATTGCATGAAACAAAGCCGTTTTATCCTCGTTATCTCGTTTGTTTATATCAAATGATTGGAAATCGAATTCTTTTCTTTTAATATTTTTAAAAAAATGTGGAACCCCGACAGCACTTTTATAGCTGTTCGCATTATCCAGAAAGGATTTGACGTCATCGTATCGATTATCCTTGCAAGCTTTCATAAAACGGGAATATATTAATGAGCTCATAATAACGATAGACAGATAATAACTGTGGTTCAACTGTTCTTCGAAATATATCGATTCAATTAAATTGACAACACGTCAAATTAACTAAAACACCTTTTAACTATATCTTAATTGTGATTTTTACGTAACCAATTACAATGTACAAAATCAGCATTGAAGTTATAACTTTACAAGTAAGCCAATACAAATCTAAAAAAACAACATGTGTACGAGTTAAAGGATGTATTTGTTGTGCAAGAGAGGTTCATAACATTTTTCCACAGAAAAAGCATGCACTGCGTCTGTTTGCAATGTTATACATATTATAGCATTCATTTGCACGGTGTTGCATATCTATGTAAAATATAGTAGGCGTAGATTTGTTTTGAAGCAATGACAGAACTCATTTATGCATCGTTATCTACTTACCTTCGAAGTAGTCAAAAATATGAGCATTGTAACAAAAAAGCGTAACTGATATATCGATTTTATTATATACCTAAATTTTTTATCTATCTTATTGTTTATAATTATTATTTCTGTTTTCTTTACCTTATATAATTATTTTACTCTTTCATTTACGGTTACCATTGTATTACCATTTTTACTTATTTTACAGTTTCATTTTTTCTACATGTCTTCACATGTCTTCAATCTTCATATCATTTTATTTTATTCCCGCTAAATGCATCTAATATGTTCTATATTCATAATTTTAATTTCATCGTTTCATACCTTGCATGTTGTTACTTTCTCTGCGCCTGGCAGAGTTTGATTTACAGAATAAAAAAATTTAACTAACGAATATGATGTAATTGTAATCGATACTAAGCTACAATTGTCTTCAAAAATGTATCAAATATTATTATTAAATCATAAAATCCTTTGTAAATCTTTATTTATTATCTATTGGAGTTATTATATTTTATTATTTATTGCAATTCACTATCCAATAACTTTCAGAGACATCAACAACAAACATGCAGTGTATGTAAATTCAAGTGAAACAACGCATTGTACACATTGCATAAACAGGCGGGGTTTTCTTTGCAATCGAATCCCGTCGATGCAATATCAGTACCAGGCACTTTACCGTTACGCCTTAATTCACAGCCTAAATTTTTTTCTCATACTCTCGCAAAAGGATTGCCTTAATCTACATTTTTTTCTATCTCTTTCTTTTGTGTTCGATAAATAATCGATCAATTAATGAGTGAATGAATCAACGAATCAGTTTACCATTCAACTATTTAATCAATTAACAGATCCAGCTCAATTTTCATAGCACCCACGCACAAACATTATACATTTTGTGTATGCAATTCATAAAACTCGATGGGAGTTGAAAGTATGATAGAAACCATTCCACAAAACGCAGAAACGTTCAAGTTGTATTAAATCGTACACCTCACGTGTGGAAACAATGAGTTTCTGTTATATTTTCACAAATCACCTGAAGTATTAATTAGCAATTAAACATTAAAAAATTTTCGATCATATTAATTTTTTCCGAGTAGTTTCATATATAACATAAAAGTTCAGCTAAAATATGGCCCTACTATTAACATTATATTATAATCATTTTTGTACTAAAAAACCATAGGTATAAATATAAAGATCAATGTGAGTTGAAAGTGGAAATTTTTCCACAACCTTTGCAGAGAAACACTGGTATCCAATGTCTCGTAAGATTTACTATTAAAAAATATCATTTTGGCTCTCCTAACGACAAATATATATTCAGATATTTCATACTCAGCCATTTCCAAGATTTTTGGATCGCTTGGTGCAAGGACTAGAAGGACTCATTGTGTGTGTACCTGGAGAGGACACTGATGTTCAATTAAACTGTTGAACTTCCCAGTTTCCACTTCATATCCAGGTTTAGGTGGTCGCGTTTGACTAATTGGTTAAAAAACCGATCATAACTTTTAATAAAAAAAAATTAAATTTTGTTTTATAAGTGTTACATTTTAGGAGAGCGCTGGTTGATTTGAATGCGTTAAAAATTGAATTAGTTATATTTCCAATGAATGTTAAATTTATGATCTAATTAATGATTGAAAAATTATTGATTGTAGAGTGGATGTGACTTTACGCTGCAATACTCAATTTTATTTTTTCCATTTATTGTTTGAATTTTTATTTTTTGTGTAAGTTAATATATTGAATGGCTTCCCTCCCCGTTATCAACAGTTCAAGACAATGTTAAATTATAACAAATAATTTTGCTCAAAGATCGTGCAATTATAAAGGGAGAGTATAAGAGATTTCTTTCATTAGGAAACAAATTGACAAATAGCAGCACAAATGACTTCTAATCTATTAGGACAGGGGTGGGCAAACTTTTTGCTGTGGGGGCCGCATTGAGAACTACTTGACTTATGAAGGGCAACATTGAGAACTATTTGACTTTTGAAGGGCCGCATTAAAAACTATTTGACCTTTGAAGGGCCGCATATATGTTTAAATAGCAAATTTTTTCGAACCGTTGATGGGAGGGAGAATTTTTTAACATTTTTTTTATGGCTGACGACCCTTTTTTTTTGTCGTACGTTAGTTTTTCGATATTTGTTTATACGCTAGTTCATTCATTTATTTTTTCGTTCGTTCGTTTATTCATTCTTGACGAACAACAAACGGGTACATGCATGCCGGATACCCCATCGTAACTCATTTGGATGTGTGTCGCAAACCAAAACAAAACAAATTTTTTGCTGGACGAACAAAAATTGAAAGCAGCTACCAGTAAATAAAATATCTAATTTCAAAAATTAGGTGACTGAAAAAGTTGATGGCTTTACGTTTCACCGACGCTCTCCTTTTCATGCGATTTTAACGCTTAAATGCATAACATATTTGACTGACACTATTACATAACATGGGTCGACAGTGACCCGTAGCGTCACCGCTTATAAAATGCAAAAATTTCATTTCATGCGTTTAGCTGGACAGGCCCATAAAACTTATGTCAACTTATTTCGAAACACAACTGGCTATAAAAAAGACGTGAAAAATTTTTTGAAAGTGAATTGTAACTTGTTTAATCAATTTTTTACCTTGATTTTTCTAAATATCATATATTACGTTGCGGTTATGTCAAAACGATTATCTGCCAAGGAGGCCTATTGAACAAATTAGTAAATTGGTGACAAACGAAGACAGCGCCAACTCAAAAATTAGTGAAATAACTAGCATTATTCCTTTAAATCTTAACTAAGCGGAATTCCCAACATTCAAAAATGTTATCCATAAATTCATAGTTCGAGTAAATAAATGTAAATTAAATAATTTTTTATTAAATATAAATTTAAATAATTTTTGCATTGCCTAGGGCTCCAAATTAATTAATTTATTTATTTACATTGTTCCTATCATTACATTATTACACTTAACTATCACTTGTATTAAATTCTTTCAGCCTTAATAAATAATAAATTAAAAATAATGTGTTATGAAAAGAAAATTACGCTCAACTAATGTAATGAATGTATGTATTAACATATGCACGTGTGTAAAACGCACGTGTTTGTTGCAAGTGAAAGAAAGTAAAGAAAGAGATAAAAACTAATGCTACCTACCTATTTAACTACATTAACAATTAAAATTATCCCTATCTAACTTACCTAACAAATTTTAATGTAAGGCGTGTGTGAGTATTTGTGTTGAGTAACGCATCTCAAAAATAAATTATTAATATTGGTAAAATAAACGAACAAGTCTAGAAATAAAAACTATATAAATAACGAATACGTCTAGAAATAATAAATAAATTTACCAAAATAAAATATAACAAAATTTAACTAAAATATAACGAAAATAATATTGTGTTAATTGTCGTGTTTTATTGATGTTGATGTGTTGAACAAAAAACAAACAAAATACAAAAAAACTAAAACGCAAGAAAGAAAGGAGTTCCTAACTCACCTATGTTCACTAAATTAACTCACCTACTTATGTTCAATTAGCTCAACTTACGAATTAATCCTACCTATTTGTACGATTACGAAGATAAAAGAATAAGAAGATAAAACATCAAGCAAACAAAACAACGAATGTATTGTATGTATGCATGTATGTGTGTGTGCGCGCGAACTTTATATAACCGCGCAGTAAAACTATTTAACTATATAACCGCGTAATAAAAATATCGGTAAAATAAATGAACAAGTCTAGAAATAATAAGTAACAATACAAGTAACAAATACGTCTAGAAATAATATTTAAAGAAATTTAACTAAAAAATAACAAAAATATGTGTTGTCATGTCTGATTATTGTTGTTTGTGTTGTTTTGAACAGAAACAAAATACAAAACAAACTAGAACGTAAGAAAGAAAGAATAGAGTTCTTAACTTACCTATGTTCATTAAATTAACTCACCTACCTATGTTCAATTAGCTCAACTTACGAATTTATCCTACCTATTTGTACGATTACAAAAAAGTAAGAAAACGAGGAGAAAACACTAAGCAAACAAAACAACGA